TAACTTGGTTTAATAAGTTATAATTAACAAAAAAATATTTGCTGTCATGACTAATTGATCATAAAATGATTTACAGTGCATGATTTCATACTCAGTCGCAGCCTTATCAAAATATGCCTTTGTTTGTTGTGAATATGCACCCTCTAGTGGCAAATATTACACATTGTGGCTTTAATTTCAATAGTGCATTTGACATACTGCAAGCCTCAAGATCAGCTCAAGCTGTCTTTAGCAGAAAGCGCTCTGATTCTTTCATACACATGTATTAAGAGAAAGTGAAAGAGTCTTGCATACCACTGTAAATTGATCCTCTTCATGTAAATGATATGCTTGTTTTCCATTGTCATAATAAATAAGATTGTTCAGATATATTTAGCCTAAGGGTCCTGACACACCTCTGGTCTGCCCTCGGCCAGCATTAGCCAGCTTAGTTTTCAGTGTTTTGCCTGTCTAGACTATAGTCAGACACAACATGGCCAATTGTACACACAATTCTGATGCTAAAGAGAGTTCTGATTGGCTGATTGGCTGTTCAAATGAGGCATGACAAATAAAAGCAAATGTCATAAAAGATAGCAAAGAATACATAATAAAAGTCATTTTTAACATTTCTAATCATTTAAATGTATAATATACATGTAAAAAAAACTGCTTGTTCAAACTACTTATTTAAAATGAGCTGCATCAACACAATTCTTAGGTTTTTTTAGGACAACTAAACTGTTTTGTGATAAATTCACTTATATTTGTAAATCAATTAGGTTAACTTAATCGATTTGTGTTGGGGCAACATGAAGGAATTGTGTGGAAACCAGCATTGTTTACAGTTTTTTTAAAGATTTTATGTGGAAATCATGACATTTTTTTTCAAAAACAGAAAGAATAGCATTGATTGAACTAAAAATGTAGGGTCTTTACTGACACTTTTGATCAATTTAGCATGTCCTTGAATAAATAAAAGTATTAATTTCTTGAAAAAATAATTTTTTATAACTCAATAGCACAAATTACTGACTCATTCATAAAAACAGCCACTTGTTTTATTCCTGAATGAATGAATCGGCTGACTGAATGATTCATTGGCTTTCAGAACTCACTGTTGTATTAATATTTGAGTCTTTTGCAGCTGTGTCTGTGTCTGTGTGTGTGTGTGTGTGTGTGTGTGTGTGTGTGTGTGTGTGTGTGTGTGTGTGTGTGTGTGTGTGTGTGTGTGTGTGTGTGTGTGTGTGTGTGTGTGTGTGTGTGTGCGTTTAGCTGAAACCCTTGATGCTCATAAGTGTAAGCAAGCTTTGTTGGCTCCAAAAGGAAAGAGATAAACATCTCCGTTGTATATCACAGTATAAGGCGCTTGGCACAGATCACTGCCGGGGGTTAAGCTGTCTTTTCCAGAGCTGACAATGCTCAACAGCTTACAGTCTGACATACGACTCTAGTTATAAACTACTTTTATTTTAGACATACAATACTGATATCTATAATATGTACAGTTAAAATCATTGCATTTTTGATTATGTTTTTAACATAAACTATGTTAAGAACAGCTCTAGTATTACGTTTTTAATCTGTATGGTGATGCTTGCTATTGAACACCCATCATTCTGCTGTGTGGCAAAGGTATTTCACGCTCTCAGTGTTAGCGTGGCCAAGCCTGCCATATTTCAAAGAAGAGGCAGAATCTGCCTGTGTTAAATGTGCATTTGTTTGCAGATCAGCATCAGATAGAGTGCAGGGGGATCAGAGATACATGGGGGGGAAACGGGTCAGCTGTCTGCTCGATGCAAATGTTATCATGAGGAAAGCTCACCCCTTATCACTCTCGCACCCACCGGCGGCCCGCCTGCCTGTTTGCAGGGCTCAGGATTATCCTTGTGATATTTTAATGATTTAGACTGAAAGTTCTAAACTATATATATATATATATATATATATATATATATATATATATATATATATATATATATATGCAGAATTCTAGCACTAAAATAAAGTAACATCCGAGCGAAAACTGCCTTTATTTGTGACCAAATCTATAAACACTGTAAAGGCTCTATCATCAGTTTGAGAAACTTGTATCCACCAGTGTCGAAATCAAACCTTTGCCTTCCCATAACCCATGCTCAGGAGAACAGAATCTCAGGAGAGAGAAAGTGAGCTATAAAAAGAGGTTTGTGAGTGTCATCCCTCTTGGTCGTCTCTCTGGGGTTGATTTGTCCACAGTCCTGGTCTCTTTCAAGTGTCTCTCCAGTCAGGCTATTAGTCGCCCTGCAGTAAGGGTCGGCCGAGGAGAAACCTGCACTAATAGGACAGGAGCTTATGGGGGCGTACAGGGGCTAAAGTAACACCATCATCAGCCGGGAGAGCGGAGACTCATAACCACCCTCAGCCTTCACACAAACTCAGGAGGTGCTTATAGTCTCCATTACGAGGGATGGAGAAGTTTTCTGAAATGAAATGGACTCGAAATGTGATGCTTTATGTTGGCTGGAGATCTGCGGCACTTGACCCAGTTCACTAGTGTCTGTGAGACCTTTGACTTAAAAATGGAGTTGCTGACCCATTTTCAATAGCACTGATAGAAGCAGCGCAACTGTTTTTAACATGGCTTTGTTCCTTACTTTAAAATGAATATGTGATAATATGGAACATAGGAGTATTTACCAGGTTAGTCTCAATTTGCTAGAAGTAATAGCTCTGTGTATAAGCAATATGAACAGTATTAGTTATTGGATCTCTCAGGTTGCTTTTACAATTGGTTCAAATGCCTGGACCGAATCCAAGTTTGATTGTCCCCCCTTGCCATCTTCCCAGATGGTTTTTGTTCACACTATCTTTTTTCCTTCTGAACCCCATCAAGCCGCTGTTGTGTATACAGCAGTTGCAAGGTGATGGCCACTAAAACCAGGGTGCTAAAACGAAAAGATGTACGCACATTACGGTCCGTTTGCTTTTAACGAATCGTTTGTTTTTGGTAACATACTGCCACAAATATATTAAATTTAATAACAATTTTTTTTAAAGAAAAGCAGACGTTGGGCTCTATTTTAATGATCTAGGCACAAAGTCTAAAGCGCATGCACAAAAGCATTAAGGGCATGTCTAAATCCACTTTTACTATTTTAGGGATGTAAAAATACACTCTGCACCCCAGCACATGGTCTAATAGGGCTCTGCTTATTCTCCTAATGAGTTATGGGTGTGTTTTGAGCATAATGTGCAATAAACCAATCAGAATATCATCTCACATTCCCTTTAAGAGTCAGTTGCATAACGCCTTGGCACATTCACGATTTACGTAGGGGACTTTGTAAGTAGAAAAACTGAACGCTTCACTAATGAAAAAAGTTAAACAGACCATCTGCAGCATGAGGATAAAGAATGAGTCTCCTCCATTCAGCCTCTTTACTTTCTTTTACTTTATTTTGACTCTTTACTCCTTTACTTTCATGGATAATGAAACGCTGTTGTACGCACTGAAGACATCCATTAGCCTACATATTTAATTAAATTTGTTAAGCACAAAGATTTGTTTCAACACTATTTCTAAATTCAGTTCTAATTTCCAGCAAAGAATAAATGAACGAAGTGTCAAAATATTTGGTATAGCCTAACACACGTCCTTTTCTTATGGAGTTAACTTGTTAACAAAGGTTCGGCGGAACCATGCCTCACTTTGTCTCCCTAACCAATCCCCTACACAGTATCGCCGTGTTAGACCCTAGCCATTGTTTTACTCCTGTCTGCTACCTGCCTTCTGACCAATCACCTAATATTTGATTACGACTCTGGATTTCCTGTGTACATCTGTTTGCCCTTGTGTTGACCGTTGCTTTCCTTACCATCCCATTAATAAATTCTGCATTTGTATCCTCACCTCCGTTGTCAGCATCCACATCACATTACAGCTGCAGCAGATTGATTTTACAGTGCCAGGTTAATTTTTCTGACACCTTTATGAAAATCAAATACATTAAAAATAAATATTGGCCACAGCTGAATATTGAGAATTGCGGTCTTAAACCAAGAAAAGACTTATGCTGTAAACATCGTCTCTTTAGCTGAGGTTAATATTAAATTAAACAAAATAATAAATGGCTATAAAAATTAAATGGTTGTTAGACTGTTGCACTTTTTTGTGTTGTCAACATGCTCGTGTTTATATAGGCCTACTGTTGTATAAGCAACATTTGCGTATTTATAACCACCTCAGAGGAGTTTGGGAGTTTTGAGTCACTGGCATTGTTATTTTAGGGGTCGCAGGCTGAAAAGTTAGGGAGCCCCTGTTGTAGTACACAATTGTCGTTTTGCTTGTCAAATACATACATACATACATATTTTCATATAATCACATTTTTGTAATGCTTACAGAGAGATAATGATATCTGCTTGCTGTTGGGATCACTCATATTGCAGCTTACAGCTATATATTGTAATAGTTCAGCTCAACAGCTAATGAGCAATAGTGATACATTTCAATGAGACTCCCTCTCTATCTCTCTTTTACTCCATCCATCATCTTTGAGCGCTGTAGAGTGATGTGCGTCTCTGCGAAGGAGACTGTCATATGTAAATATGGGTTTCTTGTCTAATCACAATTCTTTTTTCTGAGTGAAACATGAGAGGCGAAACTCTGCTTTTACCCAAGAAAAGGCTTTAATGTGCATTTGATCTGAGAACAGCGTGAACACCCCTTATACATTTCTAACTAGAACAGATCTCTTTCAAGCACTTTAGCGTGGCTTTATTTTGGCACTGGGTAGAAAACGCACAATTTCACACCATTTTCAAAAAGCAATAGATATGTACTGAGAATCTGTTCTGCGAAAATGTATTTAATTCTGAAGCAATAACAACTCCTCAAAAGCAGAATGAAGCAGCATTAGTTGAGCTCCGCTATGTTGAACATTTCTCAATATTAGGAGGCTGTGAAACCAAACACTGTGAAATAAGGTTTACTGGGAAAAGGAAAAAGGCTTGACTTGAGCATTTTGTTTCTTGTACAGGTGTCCGACCGCTGTGTAGTGGCTTTGGTGCCCAAGCAGACGTCCTCCTACAACATTCCACCCACAACTAGCATCTCCCGGACATCTATCAGCAGATACGGTGAGTATGTTTGATGATTGTAATTGAAAACAGTCCAGTGATTATCCATTTAGCAAATTAGAAACTTGTTGGTATACAGATTTACAGCATTGGGGGTAATCATTACAAGTAATGCGAGTTACATAATATTACTTTTCTAAGTAACGTGTAAAGTAACACATCACTGTAAAAATTGAAGTAATAATATTTTAGTTACTTTTTCAACTTTTTTTAGCTTTTAAAAGTAAATTACTGAATTAAAAAGGATTTAGTGAGAGAATGAGCTCCCCAGGGGGAACAGACAGAAACCAAGATGTCAGAGTCTTACCAAATCCCTATAAACAGTCAAACACACCATACCTCTGTTTACTCTTGACTTCAACATACCTCCACACTATTAAACACAATACCTATAAAAATCTGATGGGGGAGCATTCTGTTGCCAGGCTAGACAATGTGCTTGGACCCCTATCTCTCTCTCTCTCTCTCAATCTGGGGAAATCCCAGGACAGCGGTTCTCAACAATGTTATTCAGTCAAACATACACCACAATCTCTCCAAGCCACCTCACGGTCTCCCGGAATTATGGAGACAAATACAAGTATGCCCTCTCTCCATCTTAATTGTGAAGTGATTTGGATATATGGCCACACATTCTCATTCACACACATACACTACGGACAATTTAGCTTACCTAGTTCACCTATAGTGCATGTTTTTTTTTACTGTGGGGGAACCAGAGCACCCGGAGGACACCCACGCCAACACGTGGAGAATATGCAAACTCTACACAGAAATGTCAACTGTCCCAGCTGAGGCTCGAACCAGCGACCTTCTTCCTGTAATGCGACAGTGGTATGCACCACGCCACCCTCAAGATTTAATATAAGCAAATATACAGATGGTTTTATATGACGCTTCTTAAGAGCCGCGTGCTGCAGTTTCATTTTGCAGCCCGCAGGAAGCCCAAGGGAGCCTTCAGGGTACCAGAGAATGAGAGCGAGAGAGCAAGTCAGGGAGGGTAAGAGGAAGAGAGAGGTGTTAGCGGTTAGCGTGAAGCTCAGTAATGCTGATTTCAACACTGAGTTTGGATGCCACCCGTAATGGACAAATTAGCTCCTTCCCCATAGCATTGCTTTGAGGGAGTGCCACAGGGCTCCCCATCTGGCCCGTTCTCATTTTCCATCACACTGAGCTGCGGGCCACTCTCTGATTGCTAATTATGCACCACCAATGATACTTCACACCGGCGAAAAAACTCCAATGACACGCAGCCAAATACCAGGGACAGTGATGAAATGGAGCCCCTTGTGCATTGTCACCTAGCAACCCTGCCAAACTATGCACACTAGCATCTCACCTGGCTTCAGTTCACTAACGTCCGCATGAAACACGGCCTGTATCGGCGTATTTCACAATTCTGGTTATCAAAGCTCGAGGATGTTTCTTGCATTAGAGCGGTGTAATGAAGGAATGCAATTATCTTCTCTTATCGTTTGTAAACATAATGACATTTAAAGTTCAGGGAACACTTCAAACGGCGCAACAGGCAACCTGAGAAACATTTTGAAAAGCTATCTTTATTTCTCAGCCGTGCTCTCCATTAACCAACAAACCTCAGTGGTTTTGGTATCCTCCCCTTGAATTGGGTAGTTAAGAAATTTAGGGTTACGTTTGGCACTTTGATCTGTTTTATTGCAAAAAGCTTGTTGTGTATTTTAGGAAACTCGTCAAATAGGAATGAGATGGCACAACGCAGGTATGATTTTTGGCTGTTTTTACAACCTGATCTTGTGTGTGGTGCATAAAAAGCAGCTATCTCATCTGGCAGAGCCCCGGTGCCCATCAATCACGCCATGGCACAGCGGGCACAGCTGTGCACAGGCACCCGCTGATTGATTCATATCAATTTAATGCTCAACACTTAGCAGCTCGGCTCAATTTAGCATGCCAGCACCCCCGGCCCAAAATAACACACTGCTCACACACCTCTAACTGAAGACAGCAACTCACACTACATAACCGTACATGCCAGATAATTTTGGTATGTGGTCAGTTGCCAATGGTTCATTACTATATACTATACTATATAAAAAAAATGTATAGTTGAAGTCAGAATTATTAGCCACCCTGAATTATTAGCCCCCAATTTTTATTTTTTCCATAATTTCTGTTTATCCAAGAGAAGATTTTTTTCAAAACATTTCTAAACGTAATAGTTTTTAAAATTCATCTCTAATAACTGAACTATTTTATCTTTGTCATGATGACAGTAAATAATATTTGACCAGATGTTTTTCAAGACACTTCTATACAGCTTAAAGTGACATTTAAAGGCTTAACTAGGTTAATTAGGTTAACTAGGCGGGTTAGGGTAATTAGGTAAGTAATTGTATAGCAATGTTTATTCTAAAGACTATCAGAAAAAATATTGCTTAAAGGGGCTAATAATTTTGACCTTAAATGGCTTTAGAAAAATTAAAAACTGCTTTTATTTTAGCTGAAATAAGACAAATAAGACTTTCTCCGGAGGAAAAAAATATTATCAGACATATTGTGAACATTTCCTTGCTCTGTTAGGGTTAAACATCATTTGGGAAATATTTAAAAAATAAAAAAAATAATAAAAGGCAGGCTAATAATTCAGACTTCAACTGTATATTTTTAATACATTTTTAATAATTTTTTATTAAAAATCACCATGTATATGTGTACAAAAGGAAAACCAACAATACTGCACACTGTTAGTACTCGCTGAATGATTTACTAAACATAATATTTCAGTCTCACAACCTTTATTGGACATGTTTTCATTAAAACAACGCATAAGCATTCTTCCCAAAAGTGAGTCAATTTAATTCACAAACATTTTAGGTTAATTAACTAATAACTTAAAATAAGTAAATAAACAGTACCATACTGTCTTTGTTTCAATGGATTCTAATTATTAATAATATATTAAAACTATTAGAAATAGAGTTTAACTGCAAAAACCTCTTAATATCATCTGAAATTTCCATCAAAAAGCCTTATTCTCAACCTTCTTTGTTTACCTCCTTGAGTAATTTCACTTTGAAAAACTTATTCTTTGACATAAAAGTGAAATGACTGATCCTAAACACTGGAACCAGATAAAAATGCTTATTTTAGATTAAAATTTCAGACGACATTTAGAGATTTTGGCAACTGAACTCTTCATTTAGACATTTAGACAAGTACATAGCCCTGTTAATTCAGATGGTAATACAGTAACCACTAATTAAATCATTTGTTAGACTGATTAAGATTAGCTCTATAATAACTTGATAGTTGGAGCGTACTCCTGAACATATAACAATAACTTTTGGTAAATCCTATTCATGATATAAAATGTCAAATTTTAGATATTATGTCATCTGAAATTAAATATCATAATCATAACTTACTCTTCTCTCCTACTGTCACTGCATATCTGCATTGTCCAGCAGAGTCTGCTCTAATTTGCATAAACACACCTATTTGGTAGCATATGACACCTATTTGGCAGTATATGACTAATTCTGCATGAAACTAAAGTTTCCAGGGTTTATTTTGCTAGTGCTCATTGTGAGGATAAAAATAACCCCCCACTCCTACTCAATATTCTTTGAGTGAAAAATAAGTCATCAAACTGAAATAAAATTTCACAGCAACATCCGATTCATTTACACTTGAGCTAATGAGTTTGAGCTAATCTCAATGAGTTAGAGTTTTGACAACATCATCTTATTATTATATTTCATTTTGAGATTTTGCTTTAGTTGAGATTTTTGTTCTAATACTATAACTTCCATATTCCTTTTTTTTTTTTTTTCAAAAGTCTGATTTGACAAAGCATTATTGTTTTGATGCATTTTTTTAATCACAGGACTGAAGCTAATTGAAGTAAAAGGCTTGTCCTTTACTGGTTTTCTATATTCCGTCATTAAACCATTCAACTGCCTGCTCTACCAAATGGTTGACCATGTTTTAAATAATGACTGTTAAAGTAATTTAAAGAATGACTTTTTATGATTTTAATAATGGTTTACACACACAGCATTGTTGGTTTTACAAAAAATCAAACTAACATAATCCTGTTGCACTAATACACCTGATTTTGGTTTTATGGTAAAAAAAAAAAAAAAAAAAAAAAGACAAGAAAATATGTTAAATGAGAATCTAAAATATTTCTAAATTTTTAGCATACTTTAAAAAATGAATATGATTTAGTGTTCAAAAATGTTTTATTTCGATTGTTTTTAAATAAATTGGTTAACTACTCTTAATATTTTTTGATTTTCATAGTATATACCGGTACTTTAACCATAAACTGACACATCTACCATTTGGTACACTGTAAAACCCAAAAAGTTAAGGTAACTCAAACCGTTTAAGGTAACCGATTGCAATAAACCATTTAAGTTCAAAAACTAATACTAATGATTACTGTGAACTTAATCTATTTGAGTAAACAAATCAATTTGAGCACAGTTAAACCCAATAAGTGGAGAACTCAAACTAACTGAGTATGGTAAATCCCAATAAGTTAAGGCAACTTAAACCATTTGTGGAAAGCGATTGCTACAAACCATTTGAGTTAAGAAAACTAATCTCTATGAGTACTGCGAACTTACTCCATTTAAGTTGCAGTAATGAGGTATTTAATGAACTCATTACCTTCAACACAGAGTACAAAACTCTTTTCAAATGAGTAGAAATAATGAATAGAATTAGTTGACTGTTGTGTTTTACAGTGTAGAGGATGGATGTGTTGAAAATAATAATAAATTGAGTGTGTTAACTATAGCGACATTAGGAGTTAAGAAATGCAATCCAAAAAACATTTTCTTGGTGGGGCAGTGAAAGGGTTTAATAATTGTTTTGGACCTTATATTCAAAAGTGCAGAAACGCACAACTAAAGTGGATTTAAAGGAAAATTAGTAGAAAAAAACAGTATTATATATACACTTCAGTAGTAATCCCTCAATGCCAATACTGTGGCAAAAGCCAAAAGGGCTGTAAGTTGCAGTAGCTTAAGGTGGATTGAAACCCCGATCCATTCCTTCCTGTACCCCCTGCTGCTAACACCACCATTCCTCCTGGGGTTCTCCCTCTGGCTCTGGCCTACTCAAAATTCCTCTTCTGTCTCTAAATAGCCAAGGCTATTTGCCTTCCTTTGCTGTTTCACATGCCCTTTGAAGCCAGGTGACCAAGAAAGAGACAGGCGCTTTGAAAAAACACAGAAGAATATTCCACCATTGTGAAAAGCCGATCCAACCTCCTCCCAAGAGAGCACTCAACCGCTGTGGGGAGAAAAAAAGCCACACATCTAATTGGAGAAGTGAGCAGGAGACTGATTACTTAACACGCGAGGATAGAAGAGAAAAGGAGATGAGATGGATGAGTGGGGAGCTTAACTCATTAGAAATCTTTAGATGCATTGATTAGGTCCTGCGATGCAAACGTTTAAAGCATGTCTGCCGCACAATGAATCAGGACGAGCCAATTATGAAGCCTTTGAAAAGGAGGCCAGAGAGCGTCGACTCATCTTGCTCAGTCTCGAACTAATACAGAGATGAGTCCTCTGCAGAGAGAGAGAGATACAGAGGGTTAGACAGAGCAAATGAAATGTGAGAGAGCCTTGCTCTTTTTTTTTTATTCATCCCAAAAGAAAGACAACGTGGAAGAATGGCGATGTAAGATCATAATCCTCTTTCTTTATCTCTCTTTCGCTATTCCCACAGACTCAACATTCCGGTACACGGGCAGTCCGGACAGCCTGCGCTCTCGTGCTCCAATGATTACTCCAGATCTGGAGAGCGGAGTCAAAGTCTGGCATCTGGTGAAGAACCATGAGCATGGGGACCAAAAGGAGGGCGACCGCGGCAGCAAGATGGTATCTGAGATCTACCTCACCCGCCTGCTAGCTACTAAGGTAACGCCTCAGATTACACACTAGCGTAAAGGTACATACTGATACCCTACAATATTGATGTGTGTAAAATCATGGCTTAGCCAGGGTTGTTGTGTCCACATGGCCTTTGTTTTAGTTGAATCAGTGTCGTGATGATGTCATAGAAAGCTCCTAGACCCTGAATTTGCAGGAAATCAGTGGCATTTCAGAAAATATGCGACGTTTGCTTGATTTTGCGATAAATTTAGCAATTGCAAAATTGTTAAATCCTAGAGGGACTGAATATTGTGTCAAGATCTGCCAATGTGGTAAGCAAAGTAATATTATCTCAAAAGAAAAAACAAGACTTTTATGCTTAAACCATTGGCAGATTATTATGCTTGTTTTAAGAGAAAACTCACTTAATTCGGGCATATTATTTCTTGAAACAACACATTATTTTTAGCTTGCTTAGAAAATGCTTCTTGTTTTAAAAATTTGTAGGACTAAAGCCTTTTTTTGCAGACACTTTGTTGTGTAAAGCAAGACATGCTGCAATGAAAAATGTGCAATATTATTCCTTTACTAATTATTTTTAATGATGGCTTTCTTTTTCCCATTTAGGGTACGCTACAGAAATTCGTGGATGACCTGTTCGAGACTCTTTTCAGTACAGTTCACAGAGGCAGTGCGCTTCCTTTAGCAATCAAATATATGTTTGACTTCCTGGACGAGCAAGCGGACAAGCATGGCATCCATGACACTGATGTCCGCCACACCTGGAAAAGCAACTGGTGAGAAAACATACTCAAATGATCTACCTATCTTTAAAATTGCATTTCTATAACACCAAGCGTTCTGACCTTGTTCTTGCATGCGTCTGTTTATTCCCTGCAGCCTTCCTCTGCGCTTCTGGGTGAATGTGATCAAGAACCCCCAGTTTGTTTTTGACATTCATAAGAGCAGCATCACGGACGCCTGTCTGTCTGTGGTGGCTCAAACCTTCATGGACTCCTGCTCCACATCTGAACACAGACTGGGCAAGGATTCACCCTCTAATAAGCTGCTTTATGCTAAAGATATCCCCAACTACAAGAACTGGGTAGAAAGGTAAAACTAGTCCGACTTTATTCTTTTTGTTTATGTGTTCTTGTAACAAGCCACAGTTCTTATTTCCTTTAAACAATGTCAATAATTCAATAGAATAGCGAAGAATAAGGGTAGTTGACAAATAGGCATTCATTTATTTTTATTTATGTTACATTCTGATGTTTGAAAAAATATAAGAGATCACTAACTTTTCCAATTCTTTTACGGGTTTTTTTTAATGAATATTAAATACATCCTATGGTGTGACATGGTAGAAAATCTGAAAAACTTTTAGTGTAGTAATATAATATAATATAATATAATATAATATAATATAATATAATATAATATAATATAATATAATATAATATAATATAATATAATTTAATATAATATAATATAATATAATATAATATAAAATAATATAATACAATATAATATAATACAATACAATATAATATAATATAATATAATATAATATAATATAATATAATATAATATAATATAATATAATATAATATAATATAATATAATATAAAATAATATAATACAATACAATACAATATAATATAATATAATATAATGTAATGTAATGTAATGTAATATAATAATATAATATAATAATATATAATATAATGTAATGTAATGTAATGTAATATAATAATATAATATAATATAATATAATATAATATAATATAATATAATATAATATAATATAATATAATATAATATAATATAATATAATATAATATAATACAATATAATATAATACAATACAATACAATACAATGTAATGTAATGTAATGTAATGTAATGTAATATAATATAATAATATAATATAATATAATATAATATATGTAATAATATGTACATATAAGGGCTGCATGATATTGGAAAAATCGAACTTTGTTTTGTTTTTCTGCTATATATATTGTGATATGAATACAATTTCACCAGATGACTGGAAAATCTCTATTTGGAAAGAATGAATCATTTTAGATTGATTGGGACAATTCTGTAGGGGACTAAATCATGCATAACAAATAAAAAAACAATCCATGAGGAGAGATTAATAGAATAGAGAAAAAGATACAAATGAAATAAACAGTGTTTTACAGTACTCAGGTACAGTAATTGAATAGTCACATGTAAAATAATACTGCAAGGTCTTCATTGAATAAGTAATTCAATAAAATTAATCATTATTAAAGTTACAAATACTACAATTTCTTATGCCGGAATGCTTTTAAAGTCCTCATGCCTCAAAAACACATGCAAATAATAAACTATAAACCAGATTCCACATTGCATATGCTGCGATGTAACTATTGTGAATGATCACATTACGATATCGATGTTGAAATAATATAATGTGCAGCCCTAGTGCATATATTATGTATATATTATGTAATATGTACATATATTATGTACAATATGTAATAATATAATATGCAAATAGCGTGAGAGAGATTTATCTTCATTGCTAGACACTTATTTTATATAGTGCTATTGGGTTTTTTTAAAAATATGATTAATATTTTGATCTCCAGTTGTCATACTTGATGGACATTTTCAGTAAATGGACAATGAAGCGTAACAATTTTATAGTGGTTCCAGAAAAGTTACAGATGTAAAATATACTCAAATGAATGGGGTTTTTAAAGTTTTCAGCGAATTGGTGATTTAAAATGATATTGTCACACCAGAGAACATGGTTTTCAGTCACAAAAGGTATCAAGTTCCTATGTTATTAGAAATATATCGGGGAAAATTAAGGCTGGTTTATGCTTCTTTGATGAGGGATCGCCCCCATGGTGCATTTATACTTCTGCACGCTGTTTGTTTTGCTTTGCAATAGCACTTCAGAAATGCTAGCTGGCAGTAGGTTATTTTATGTTCCTCTGTGTTTTATTTTTTTCTGAATGCCACATTAATGTGGTAAAGTCTAGATTTGATACGTGGCAAGTCGGAAATTTGATATCAGTATAGCAGCATTTATTATGACACTGTATAACAATAACTAATATTTTTACTGTGACCGATTGGTTTAGGGTTGGGGTGGGGGTAAGCGTTTTTTTATATATCCAATAAATGCAATTTATTAGATAATTTAATAGATAGCATAAATAATACTCTGTACAACTATTGTTTTATATTACTGTGACATTTGGGTCTAGGGTTGATGTAGGGGTAGACGTTAATAAAAACAATTAATGAGAAATTTAATAAATAATTCTTGTTAAATTCTGGCCGCAACTGTATCTAATCTAGCTACAACCCTTTAATGTACAAGTAGCTTAAATTTGCTCATTCAAAGATGGGAACTGGCCATGAGACAGTCTTGAGATTTGGCTCATAAATGTAAAACATTTAATAACATGGAAGACAAATACATATTTAACCATTTACTGCATTTTCAATGTCAATAGTCATTGTATTCATTTTGTGATGTGTGACACTGAAAATTTAGGAGAGGTAAAAACCTCTAAGTACCATCCAAAATGTCCATCGAAAATTAGCATGTTTCTCAGCCCCCTGTGTTTATGTTCAGGAATTTCTCTTTAAAGATAATGAAAATAACTTATTCTTTGCCATAAAAGTGAAATGATTAAATCTACACACAGGAACTTGATGAAAACGCTCATTTAAGACATAATTTTCAGATGGTATTGAGAGGTTTTTGCATCTGAACTCAAGTGCAAGCTCATGTCGATGAGCTTGCACACACATTTGATTGTTTGATATTGATTATATCCCCCTGGTGGTCTCCACAGGTACTACGCTGACATCAGCAGGCTGCCAGCCATCTCTGATCAAGACATGAATGCGTATTTGGCGGAACAGGCCAGACTTCACTCCAGCGAGTTTAACATGCTCAGTGCCCTCAACGAGATTTACTCCTACATTAGCAAGTACAGCGAAGAGGTGAGGTGAAACCGCCATCTGAAAACATGCCACAAGCCTTCATTTTCTAAACATCCTCATTGATTTCATGCATTATATCAGTGATGACTTTATGCCTCGCTTTAACAGCCCTGTATCAAAACCGACTGCTCTTGAAAACGCCCTACAAAAATGATATTTAAAACATTTATTTTATGGATTGATGGTTGCAGGCAAAGTATGCAGACTCAAGTCTACACTGAATAAAAACTGCTGGAATGTCAGGAAGTTAAGTCAAAAGCTCAGTAATATTTAGTTTATTTTTCTGGAATATACATTTATGTTTGTTATATGTAATATTTTGTGGAATATAAGCAACTTAAATAATACAGTTAATGTCAAGGAAGTAAAACGAGCACACATTTGATTTCATGATTTACATATCAGAGAGGCTAGTTCATTGGCTAGCATACTACTATTTAATTTGCTTTATATGTACAGCTTTGGAAAACTGAGACCACTTGGAAGTTCTTTTTTTGTATAGATTTTAAAATTATATATCTTTGTTTCATTAAAGCGTATCTCTTGTTCTTTGAACTAGCTATTAATTACATTTCTTCTGAATTTAAAATAAAACTGCTGTCATTTATAGAATAAAGTGACATTATTATATGATATGATATTATTACATGATTATTGACATCACAAAATCAATCAAAAGAGTTAAAGGAACACTTACTTTTTGGGAATAGGCACATTGTAAAACTCCCCTAGATGTAAACAGTTTGATCATTTTTTAATCCATTCAGCCGATCTCTGAGTTGGGTGGAAGCATTTTTAGCTTAGCATAGATCATCTCGCTCAAAAAAAATTTGTTTTGATATACATGATTTAAAGTTTAAATCTTCTGTAGTTATCCTGTACTAAGACTGACAAAAAAATTAAAAGTTGCTATTTTTTTGGTCGATATAATTAGAAACTTCAGTATACTGTCATTTCAGCGTAATAATCAAGGAATTTCACTGCCGTAGTATGAATGCAGCAGACGCAATGATATTACACGCAATGCTGTAACCTATTTACCTAGCCGGGAACTATTAACTACAGAAGAGTCAAACTTTAATTAGAAAATTGACTTTTTTAAATGTGATAGATGCTAATAGTCTAATCTGATTCAATGATCTATACTAAGCTAAGCCAAGCTAAGCTAAAAGCGCTCACCCAAGATAAGATGAATGGAGTAAAATATGATAAAACTCAACAGTTTAACGCTAGGTGACATTTAAATTGAGGCTATTTCCAAATATATATATATATATATATATATATATATATATATACTGTATATAATATTCTGATTTAATAAAAAAATGCATTTGAAATTGGAAAAAAGATCATACCTTTATAAAATAAGACAAATATTAATTATTTTCTCAAAATATGGCAAGTAAATCCAGCTTATCCAGAGTAAATGAAATTGTCATGTTATCTTTTAATTTAGCTGTATTGAAAATGAATGAATGAGTGAATGAATGAATGTATGGTAGTGCAGTTCCTCAGTCATAGAATCAGTCATCATCTTGATCAGCACAGTATATGTAGAATAACATGCACTTGCGAAAGAAGGCTCTCCTAAAATAAGAGTTTCACCGAATGATGTCATCCTTAACCAGTCTGGAAAACCTGCAGCAGCTAGATTCACACACACACAGACACTTCTGCAGTGCAGAGACAGACAGACAGCGAGCCAGAATGAATAGGCTTCTGATGAGGAAGATTACACACAGCTAGATCACTGACAGCCACTCCGACACAAAGAGCGCTCCAGAAGGGCCACGATGGAGATGTTCCAACTGTAATGGCAGCTCCACTCAGGGGACCCATTAGTCTGACCTTTACTTTACACAGCATTTAGGACTGCAGCCTCTCCTCTCGCTCTCATCTAAATATCCGTCTCTGCTTGCTGGTCTGTTTTCTCTTGTCCTCACATTCCCCGTATACTCTCAATCACTTGTTTTTGTGTCCTTTTCATTCTTTTATACACAAGGACTATATATTTGCAAATAGAGTTTAGTGGTTTCCTACCAGAGTGTGTAGCAAGAGTACTTGAGCACATTCCTGTGGACACTGGGAAACATTTTTTATGTTACACAAGTGCATTTATGTGAATGATTTTAACAAATATGAGAACTTTAAAGATGTTGTTTAGATTTTTCAGGGCAGAAAACATAATATTTTAATAAATGTAAATAATATGTATTCAGTATATTTAATTTTAATATATCATTTAATAAAATTGTTTTTTCAACACTAATTTATAATAATTTATCAATAATATATTTTATTAATCTACTATTCAAGTTAATAAATGTTAAATATATATTTAAAGTTGACATATTATTGAATTTTATAATAAAATAAATTAATAATGTGTTAAATAATAATCTGTTTAATATGTATAATATATGTTATATATTAATATAAAATTAAACATTTTCAATTATTAATAATTATTTATAATTATTAATATGAATTATAAAATCTTACCATTAACACAAGTAAATAGAAATTCTTTTACACAAAGTGATCATCTGAGTTAAAATATGATTATTTAAAATTAAATGTTAAAATATAATTTTTATGATTATTTACAATTAAAATATGATGATTATTATTATTATTATTATTATTATTATTATTATTATTATTATTATTATTATTATTACAGATGTGTAATATTGTAGATTATTGTAAAATGTGATTATTATTATTATTATAGATGTGTATAATTGTAGATTATTATTGTAAAATATGATTATTGTTATTATAGATGTGTATTATTGTAGATAATTATTGTAAAATATTATTATTGTTATTATTATTATTATTAGTATCATTATTGTTGTTATTATTGTAAATAATAATTTATGTAAGTATAAATCTGCTTTTCATTCACACAAAATGATAATCTGAGTTATAAAATGATTGTTCAAAATTAAATATTAAAATGTGAATATTATCATTATAGATATGTATTCTTGTAGATTATTATTGTAAAATATGATTATTATTGTAGATAATTCTGTATATGTAAATATAAATCAGTGTTTAATTCGTTCACACAAAATGATAATCTGAGTTATAATATGATTGTTTGAAATTAAATATTTAAATATTATTATTAATAATTATTTACAATTAAAATATTGTTATTATTATTATTATTATTATTATTATTATTATTATTATTATTATAGATATGTATTATTGTAGATTATTGTTGTAAAATGTGATTATTATATAATAACATATTTCAAATCTAAATCTGCATTTTAAGTTAATATTTTTTAATTTTTTCTTAATACAAAATAATGATAAACATTGAAAATAAACATTGATCATTTTGTGACAGCATAGTCCATACACACATGGCTGTTTGACTCTATTCTCTGCCCCTACCGATCCTACTGAGGACCACAGACACCTGCATAGCGAAATGTGGAGATTTTTTACCCATATGGCATGCGGTACCAAATTCCATTAAAACAGCACTCGGCAGTTCATACTTGAATCCAATGTCTTGTGTGTCATAGGGGGCATGCATGAAATGTTCTTTATTGAAAGTGTAAGTGCCAAATTTCAGTTAAAGGTGACAAATTAAGAATGAATCACCTGAAATTACATGAAACTCCAGAGGAAATGTGGATAGCGTGGTGACGCAATGATGTTAATCGAATTATGTGTTATAACTTGTAAAACGGGATCATGAAAGAAACATTTGAAAAGCAACTCGTGTAAACACTGTAATCATATTATTGTCTTATTCAGATTAAGACAAATAATTTGATTACTGATGTGCATGTAAACATAGTTAATGTTAAGAAATGCTGAAAAACCCATCAATCCATGTTTATTTTGTCCCCCCCAAAAAAATGAAGCAGAGCTGAAGCCAAAAGGGTGGTTTTGTTCATCCGCCCAAATGTGTGTGGCAAGACAATTCGTACCCGCACACAGTCATTCAGATTCATTATACAATGCGAATAGGACGACTGAAAATAATTACCTCTGTCAGCGCTCTGGAGCACTTAACCTGATGAGAGAGAGAACACTCGCTCTCTGTAAAATGAAGGCGACTGAATGAGACACAATGATGTGGAGATGCGCTCCTGCAGCTCTGCTGAAACGCATGAAATATTCAGTGCATGAGCTGCTCGTTCAACACAGGCTCACGCTGTGGAGCTCCAGCGGCTGCAGGAGTGTTGACCTGCTGAGACACATGTGACCACAGCTGTCCTGTGAAAACTCAGATGCTGATGGAGGACTATACACACATCTACTGCCTCATCATCTAGTTGATGACTTTTTGAGCATGCTTTTGAGTTTGTAGTGAGGCTAAAATAATTCCTTGTTGTCGTTGGGATGAATCTTTCGTAAGAATTATGTTAGCAGAGCATATATTGAATCTGAAAGTTTAACTAAAAGATTGCTGGTTTGAGATTCAAGACACTGTGTCTTTAAACAAGGCATTTAAATTGTTCAAGGGGGAATTTCAGCTCAGTCCCATTTGGAATCATATTTTGCTATTTAGTAGCTAATTATTATGGTTTCATTTGTAAGAAAATGAATGGTTAGACCCTAAACCAGGGGTGGGCAAACTTGGTCCTAGAGAGCCAGTGTCCTGCACAGTTTAGCTGCAACACTAATCAAACACACCTGAACATGCCAATCAGTGTCTTCAAGATCACTAGAAATCTATAAGCAGGTGTGTGTGATTAGAGTTGGAGCTCAACTGTGCCGGACACCGGCCCTCCAGGACCACCCCTGCCCTAAACTATATTGGGACTTGAGAAGGTTGTACCAAAACATGTAAATAGCCACATGCTAATTAGCAAATAACTTAAAATAGTCATGTAGTAATTGTTATACCAGCTGGGAAACTTATCTATTTTACATATTGTCAGAAAAGGGCGACGCGGTCACTGGTTCGAGCTTCAGCTGGGTCAGTTGGCTTAGCCAAAAAGAAAATGAATGAATGAATAGTGTCAGAAAAGTGTCTGAAAAATATTGTCTGAAAAGTGTCACAGTCGTATGAATTCATACAATGTCAATTGGATAAAGATTTACATGATTAAAATGAGGTGTGAGTGTTACCAGATTGTAAATGTCAAAGTATCATACCAGAACCTCAAAATTATTGTATTTGGATGAAAATTACGGTACAAGAGTCACACGGAGAGTATAAAGATATTAACTAGACTAAGAGCGTTTTGACACAATGTGCAAATTACCACAATATGTAAAACAAAACAAAAAACAACTAGGCGTACCCCATGGGAAGGTTCAAACTCCACCTCCGAGTCGCTATCATTGTGTGATACCTGTGTGTTGCCAGATGTTGAGGGATTCATTTTGCGGTACAACTTAGAAGCCGTCATGGACCGCAATATAGTGGCTTGAAAGCAGTGCACACTCCTAAATTTTTAACACTCTCTGAGGTGTGCACGAGTGCATTGAGAATATCTGCAATGTGTCGATTTCGTGGCTTTATTTTGATGAGATTAATTTTGGAAAAAAAACATTCACTTGACGCATTTAAACGAGGTAAAATGAGAACATCAAGGGCAAACTCCCGTGTCCTTCTCGCCTTTCTTTTCAGCCCAAATTTTTTCACTTTATTGCTTAAATGATCAACCTCAACCTGAAAACTACTGACTTAAGCACGGCCGCGCTCGTGTGTTATCTCATGAGAAAAAGCCATTCTCCACGTTGATTGGTTGAGAAGATGTAACATAAGATGAGATGAAACGAAAAGTAAATGATAAGCACATACTAAAGTCTGATGCAGTTTTGTTTGTAAAATACTCTGACATCTCGCACATTTTAAGAATTACACTCACAATATTATTGATAAATAAATTGGTAACTACCACAAACCCTTACTTGTTAGTCAGCATATGGTGGTAAGGTATGTTTTGAAGCTGGTTTGCTGGTTTTAAAGCTGGTCTAGCTGGTATCAATGACCAGCATAAAGACCAGCATTGAGACCAGCAAAACCAGCATTGAAACCAGCAAGACCAGCATTAAAACCAGCATACCAGCATCAAAACATACCTTACCGCTAGTTTTTTTCAGCAGATGAGGTCAGGGCTGGACTGGGACAAAATCACAGATCACAGCACCGTCAATTAATTAGGCAGAAAAACATGACAGTCTGTTAAGTGTTTATGGGCCGATTCAGATCATAAGAAGATGATCAGCCCGGCCCAAAAAGTACATCGGTCTCGCGGGAAACTGCCCAGTCTGCCAGATGGCCAGTCTGCCCTTGGATGGGGTGCAAAGTGAACATTCTACCAAATATCTCTTGTGTTTATTATGGGAGTTTGAAGTTTTTCCTTTAACTTTTGGCTACTCCATTTCTGTTTGTGTATAGTTTGTATCGGCATGTCATTCAAAAGAAACCGTATTCATAAAGTTGAGAGTAGCCTATTGATATAAGTTCCAGAACAGCAATCAAAAGAGTTTATGTTTACAATCAGTCAATCTTCTGCAGTTATTGAGGGAAGAGATTCCCTCATTCACCAGAACTCTCACGTCCACCATTTTAGGCATCTGAACGAGAACATTAATGAAGCCTCTTCTTGGCTAGCTGGAAATGCCCGGATCGATCTAGTTTGCCATTATTTCTGCTGTTTGATGTGTAAATGAGTGGCAGACAGCAGCCATGATGCTACGTCCCGTAGTGTTCCTCTGACACGGCAGTCTGAGATTATGACATGAGCACAGAGAGGGGGGTCCGTCCCGTCTGTCCTGTCCGTCTGCCTTCCCACACTCAACATGACTCGACACTTCAAAAAAAAAAAAAAAAACATGCAGAAGGAAATGAGAGATGACACTCTGCAGTTTGGGTCAGAGTCAAGTTATACTTTCCTTTTCAATGAAATATTCATGGAATGAAGTCTCTGGCAATTTTTCTCTCAGAGTCTGAAAATTAGTCCAAGTCTCATATCACAGTGAGCAGTAACTGCTCTGTGATAATTAGATATAGAGTATGCTGTCTGAAGAACGAGTCTGCTCTTTAAAGCCTGCCTCCATCAGTTTTATGCTTTTAAATGAACTCAGCTTTGCTCATTGAACCCAATTCTCATTTGGTTTCTTGTCATGCATTTCAATAAATGCTTTACATTTTGTGACCACGCTCTTGTTCTGTCATGGGATGCTATAAAGTATTTTCAACATTTGATTTACTTTTGAAATCGGGTTTAACCATTCTTTATGCACAGATTCATAAGGTTTCTTTTAAACATGTTTTTCAAATATGGATTTTCATTGTTATGCTTTAATTTTATTGCTATTGAATGGAACAAGGGGTAGCACGGTGGCTCAGTGGTTAGCCTTGAGGGTTTCTTTCTCACGTGGGTTTCCTCCGGGTGCTCCAGTTTCCCCTACTGTCCAAATACATGCTCCATAGGTAAATTGGATGCACTAAATTGGCCCTAGTGTATGAGTGTGTGTGTGTGTGAATGAGAGTGTATGGGGGGTTCCCAGTGCTTGGTTGCGGCTGGAATGGCATCCGCTGTGTAAAACATGCTGAAATGGTATGTAGCGACCACTGATGAATAAGGGACTAAGCCAAAGGAAAATTAATGAGTGGAATCGTTTCTTTAAATTTTAACCTTTCCTGGCAAATGCTTTAGAAATGTTACCATAATGCATTCTTTATTGCACATAAGATCTGACATGATGGCATAGAGTAGTGTGTTGTAAAGATTTTGCTGGGGAGCTGTTATTAATAGAAACAATTTTTATAAATAAGTTGTATGATTAAATAACCAGCAATTAATTATAAATTGTAGGGCTGGGCTGTTAATCAAAAAATCATCGAAATTGACATTCAAGAACCTATAATCAATAAAATTTTTCCAGGTTTGTTTTTTTTATTTTTTATTAATTCCTCTACCGTGTATGGAGTCACGTGACTGTTCGTTGTAGGCAATGTGTGCTTTAATTTTAGTTGTTCAGCGTTGATGTTCAATTAATATTCATAGATAGTAGATATTGTGTCATTTATTCATTTTTTACGGCTTAGTCACTTTATTCATAAGGGGTCGCCACAGTGGAATGAACCGCCAACTTACGCAGCATATGTTTTATGCAGAAGATGTCCTCCCAGTTGCAATCCAGTACTGGGAAACATCCATACACACTCATTCACACACATACACTTTATTCACACCATACAGTTTTTTCAATTTTCCTATAGCTCATGTCTTTGGACTGTGGGGAAAACTGGAGCACCCAGAGGAACATGGGAAGAACATGCAAACTCCACACAGAAATGCCAACTGACCACCCAGCCGGGACTCAAACCAGCAACCTTCTTGCTGTGAGGCGACAGTACTAACCACTGAGCCACTTTATCACCCTAGATAGCGTGTGTTTCCTTCAATTATTTTGACAAGACAAGATTTATTAGATGAATTCCGGTGCAGGCGTTAAGATAAAATGATCTGCAGTACTCCCGTAAAATGGATATGCGCATAAAACAAATAAGGGCTAATAAATTGGTATTTATCTAACTCCCAGAAGCAACAAGAGTGCATTATCAAAGGGTTAGTTCACCCAAAACTGAAAACGTGGACTACATTTACTGACCTTTTACTTGTCACAAACTTGTTTCAGTTTTTTATTCTTCTGTTGAATGCAAAAGAAGATATTTTGAACAATGCTGGGCAGCTGTTTTTTTTCTGCTATGGAAGTCAATGGTTGCAGGTTTTCAGCCTTTTTCAAAATATCATCTTTTATGTCCATGAGAAAAAAAAATTCTCATACAGGTTTGGAAACACTTGAGAGGGATTAAACAGTGAGTACATTTTCATTTTTTTTACTTTCCTTTAAGGCCCTTACTTATGGGAAAGAGTGGAATCACTGAATGAGTTTTTTTAGCTTCCGCTTGGCTGAACGGTGGCACAGTGGGTAGCACAATCACCTCACAGCAAGAAAGTCACTGGTTTGAGCCCCGGCTGGGTCAGTTGGCATTTCTCTGTGGAGTTTGCATGTTCTCCCCGTGTTCGCGTGGGTTTCCTCCGGTTTTCCCCACAAATCCAAAGACATGCGCTATAGTTAAATTAAATATGCTAAATTGATCGTAGTGTATGTGTTTGAATGAAAGAGTATGTTGGTGTTTCCCAGTGTTGGGTTGTAGCTGGAAGGGCATGCGCTGTGTAAAACATATGCTGTATAAGTTGGTGGTTCATTCTACTGTGGCGACCCCTGAATAATGAAGGGACTAAGCCGAAAAAAAATGAATGAATGAATGAATGAATGAATGAATGAATGAATTACCGCTAATCAGGGGTGTTTCTAATGCAGAATCTATGGGACAGGACAGTACATTTGACGTTATTCTCTCCTCTGGCTATCGTAATCAATCTCACACTATTTTTTTCCCTTTTCTGGAAGTCTTGATAACACCATCGTGGAGTTTTTCTGTTATTATTTCAGCAAATGGGATTGTAAAAAATTATTTGTGGGACTCTACCACTCACTGCGCTCTTAACTATGAAGACTTCTGCTACTGAGAAACCTGGAAATGTGGGTCCATAGTCACATTTGTATTTTCTCAAATGTAACATAAATGATGCACAGGAGCAGGACAAACTTTAATATTGTAGAAGAATCTATTTTGCAAAGATCTAGCCTCATTAACTCTTTCTTATGTTCCAGATCACAGCTGCACTGGATCAAGACGAGACGGCCAAGAAACAGCGATTGGCCTATAAAGTGGAGCAGCTCATCGCCGCCATGTCGCTGGAGAGCTGAGAGAAAGAAAACAAGAGCTTCACTCAATCCAACCATCATCCGAAACCTCTCCACACCAGAAGAGAGCAACACTTGCTAGAGACACCACACCAACAATAGCTTGTGCTTTTTTTCGATTCTGTGAAGCGGTCACTATTTGATGAAAGCAAGTCTTCACATGGCTTTCGTCTTAATGATGGGATCAAGACTGGAAACTTCAGTTTTTTAGTTGTTTCTTTTTAAGGGGAAAAAAAAGATAAACATTGCGGGACGAGCAGCTTCCTGAGGCATTTTGTTTTGTTTTTAGTTCATCTATCTGATTAGCGTGATGGATGCAAGACTCGATTTCAGGATCTGACGAGACCCCGATACTTCCTCAACAAAAATGTGCTTGCTAAAACCATTTCAGGAGGATTCGACAGAAGGAAACAGACATCTACTGCCTCGCCATTACCGTCCAGTTGATGGCTTTTACTTCCAAATTTTATTTTTATACATGAGTTCTTTCTGTTGAGTCGGCTAGCGTAACTCCTCATCTTTGGTGTGGCGAAAGCTCGAGTGGCTTCTTGTCCTTGGAAAGCTACCCACACGCGCGTGTGCATGTCCACACTCTAGTAATCCCTCCAACCTGAGAGACAGCAAAGCATCTTAGGTGATGAACGCAAAATGGGGCCCAAAGTTTAACCAGCATGTCCCAAACTATCTTGAAACGACAGCGAAGGACCACAGACCAGTTTGGAACTGGACCAACTCGGCTCTCTATGTGCATATGTCCTGTTTTCTACATGTAAGCGTATGTGAATGTACAAACGTTACTCTATTTTGTCTTCGCATTTTTTGTTGCTTTTCTAAAAAACAAACGGGGGTCAGTTGAGCTGATCTCCGCGGCACGACGTCCTACAGAACTGAACCTCCCTCCATAGTAGCGCTGCTGAGATTTAGTAAGGAAAGCGGCGACGAGTTGCACCTTCAGCTCAAACATGGAGGAAAAACCCTGTCAAACGAGACTCGCTTGAGATCATCTTACCGGAAAGTATTAATTATTATGTATGGTCCAATGTGTGTGTAGTCTGCATGCATTATACAGTACCTCATATAGAAAAAAAGAATAATAATAATATCTCCTTTCCCATTTACTCCTGTTGTTCAAGTGCCAAGAGGTCATGTGAGTTGTGGATGACTCAGAGGAACGCCTATGATGATGTAATATACCATGTCACTTCCTTTCTGTACACATCCGTCGGGATTAAGTGCCAAAAGATCACTTACTTACGCACTTGTCGGTTGATGCTTTATTAAGGGAACGGACCCTGTATACTGTACAATAACAAAAGAATCTCCGGTTTAGAAGTTCACTCACTCAACTTTCAAATTCAGGTACGAAAAGACCTTTAGAACGGAGTTTGTAAATATAAAGTATTTGTAAAATACTTTAGATCTTGATAGCTTGAGTGGGATTTTTTTTTTTTGTATTATTATCCCCCCGCCTGACATGAAATATGTCAACAGAACGCATGAACAAAAGACAACACGGCTTTCATTTATAATGCATGATGGCAGGTTTTTTGAAGATCATCCGAAGCCAACTAGACAAGGTCGTTCAGGTCAGAGTCATCTAAGGTTCACGGAGGTTTTCGGGATTTAACTTCTCAACAGTAAAAATGCAGTATCGGATGTGAAGATACCGACTCAAATGGCCGAAATGGTTGTTTCTTTTCCCCCCCTGTGGCCTTAGAACATTTAATCTGTTGTTTCTCGTTGATTAAATCAGCGACGTGTCATTTTTCTCCCGGTCTTTGTGAACTGTTGGAGACTGATCAGATCTCTCTCTCAGACGGGTGGTGTTGGTGGAGCATAGGAATGAGATGGAGACAGACAGACCCCTTTAGCTTCAGATTCCTCCTGCTGCTTTGAAGCTCGCCTTTGATCTCAACTAGTCATGTGCACAGTGTGATCGGAGATATATAAAAAACACATCAAAAATAGGATCCAGTGCAGGAGATTAATGAAGAGCTGCATGAAAGACAATGAATTAATCTGTTAAAGGAATAGTTCATCCGGATGATCGATTATTCACTCATGGGTATGTCCAAGTCTTGAATTTCTTTTCCATGGAGCACAAAAGGAGAATTTTTTTGAAGGATATTTTGGTCAATATTTGACAAGCGATTGCAATGAAGGCTTTTAAATGCTATAACGGACACAAAAGCATCTTACCAGTGTGTTTACCGAATCAATGAACTCATTGATATAGTATGACTCAAAAATGACAGCTATTTCATAAAAAAAATGGAGATTTAAAGGATTGTGGTCTATTTCTTAAGACGTGGGACAAGTTAAAGAGTCATTTCCATACCTGTCAACATTAGGATGTGAAAGTAAGGGATATCGATGGCTTTCCTAACTTTTTATGCTCATTTAAGGCTAAATTTGTTGTTTAAAAGAAAACCCACTGAGAATGCCATGTTTATATGTTGTTGTTATTATTATTAGTATTATTATTGTTGTTGTTGTTATGTGCATATGTCTGTTCAAACATGCTCCTAAAACCCAGAGTTTTCGCTTCAAATCGCATGTACAAGGAAACAGCGTCTATTTATCACTATGGAGCACATCTGACAGTCACGCAACACTACATGAACTGACTGTTTTGAGCATTGCATTGGAGGGGCAATGCTGCTTGTATTGGAAAGGAAGGGAATCTGCTTATATTTATTTTTAAAGTGTTTTCATGCCTAAATAAAATCAAAACACAGAACAGATTTGCATTTAAGAGCAAGGGGCGGCCCCTGGAGGTTCTGCGGTATGGTTTGCGTATAGGGAGGATTGTGTCTTTAATATTTATTTCCACCCTTCATTATACAATTGAATGGGAAAATGCCTTTACGGGATAATAACGGGATAGAATTGTGAAATACAGGAGACAACAGGAGGGTTGACAGGTATGGTCATGAAATTAATTCTATTTATATGCAATAAGAAAGCATTTTAGATACTAGTGCCTGCTTTTTTCAAATATATTTTAAAATGTCAAAATAGGGAACAATGAACATATGGAACAATGTAGCATTTCCATTCACTCTAACAGATATCCTAAAAATAAAACAGTTGTTCTGACTTATACTTGTCAAGATACACTCACTGGCCACTTTATTAGGTACACCTGTCCAACTGCTTGTAACGCAAATTTCTAATCAGCCAATCACATGGCAGCAACTCTTGACCATTTAGGCATGTAGGTCAAGATGATCTTCCACGATCTTGTATCAATGGTTCAGGCTGGTGGTGGTGTAATTGTGTGAGGGATATTTTCTTGGCACACTTTCAGCCCACTACTACCTACTGAGCATCATGTCAATGCCACAGCCTACCTGAGTATTGTTGCTTACCATGTCCATCCTTTTATCTTCTGGTGGCTACTTTCAGCAGGATTAGCGTGGCGTGTCATAAAGCACTAACCATCTCAGACTGCTTTTTTGAACATGACATTGAGTTCACTGTACTCAAATGCCCTCTACAGTCATCAGATCTCAATCCAATAGAGCAGTGGAAAGTGTGTGAAAGTTTGTGGTGCAGCTGACAAATCTGCTGCAACTGCATGATGCTATCTTGTCAATATGGAGCAAAATCTCTGAGGAATATTTCCAGAACCTTGTTGAATCAAGATCACAAAAGATTAAGGCGGTTCTAAAGGCAAAAGGGGGGTCCAACCCGGTACTAGTAAGGTGTACCAAATAAAGTGAGTGTATATCAAATAATTAGTCATGCTAATTTTTTGTATATTTTATAAAAATTAAAAACCTAGACGAGTTTTCAAAAATGACAAATGGGTAAAACTTGCACTTTAAAAAGTGATTAGTTGACTAAAAAGGGAGTAAACCCGTTGCTTTTCAAGTAATTTGTTGATTTTATTTATAAAAAAAATAATAAACATTAAGTCTTAAACTTATTAAGTAGATGAACTACACTGTAAATAATGCTGGGATCCACACAATTCATTCATGCCGTCCTGACACAAATTGATTGAGTTAACAAATTAATGTGGTTTGAATATAAAAAAATGAAGTTGTTCCAAAACAAGTTGTTTTTAAGAATTGAGTTGTTTTAACTCATTTTAAATAAGTAGTTTGAACAAGCAGCAATATAATTATGAGTGTATGTGCATAAATGTAAAAATTTATTGTCAACTTCCAAGTTACATCGGGTTCCTCACTTTTTTTTTTTTTTAAAGAAAAGTCAAGTCAAGGAAAGTAACGAAATGCTTTTACAGTGAAGTTGTTTAAAGGATTGTTTAAAGTAAAGGAAAACAAATTCTGGTGTATTCATTACCAGAATACTGTAAAATACTTATTAAAACAAAGACACATCATAATGCACAGCATAAAAAAAAACATTAAAGCTATTTTAATGCAAGAAAGAAAATCCTTTTTGTGTTTGACCCATAAACATTATACGATGCTTTTATGTTCTCATATCTATGGCGCTCTTACAATTCACACCTCAATTAAACGTACACGGCTTTAAGAATGTTCACAAACACTCCTTTTGTGTTCCCTTGAGAAAAGAAAGTCATTCAATCAGACAGATGTCCTCTTCATCTTGGGATGAACTATTGCTTCATGGCCAACTATTGTAGCTCCACTCTTCCTGAACAACCACACATTCCTCTCACACACACTGTACAGTCAACATATGTGAATCTACAAGCCATGTCGCATGTTAGTGACATTAAGGGTACATGATAAAGCTTCCTACTTTTGGTTATCCGCAGTCTTCCCCGTTTATCCTCCATCAGAGCTCATCCGGCTCTACAAGACCTTCCGTTGACTCCGTTTTTAATGTGAACTTGATTTGCTGCCGCATCAGTCGAGGAGAGACGGCTCTCCTGTTTGTGCAAAAATTCCGAGAACAAAAAGTATTCTGGTCCTAACGTTTTGTTCCAAATGATGTGGCACAGGAAATTGCACTTTGTTGAGAGAGATTTCAGTTGCTCAACGCTTATTAATGTTTATTAGAAGACATTTGATCCCTTGAAATAAAATGAAAAAAAAAAGTTAATAATTTTTATTGCGCTATTCTGCAGAGCAGAATAAAATATGACAGCACCAGGCAGCTTTCCGAAATATCAGCAGTCATCTGTGGCGGTCACAACTGCTGCTAATTTTATATTTGGCACGAATCTTGGGTCTTGGAATCAATTTTGTGCACTTTTATTGTTTTTAGCTCATGTTTTGCTCTGTGATGGAATAGCATGCTACGAACAAGTGAAATGTTCATACTCTCTTCATATTACCGATCGCAGTTGTTCCGAAGGAAACGAAAACAAGAGCAGGAAAAGCTTTTGTAGCGAGTTTGAATGCCTCAGAGGTGACGGTCCTTCCATTTTCAATCACGCTAAATTATAAACCAATCTCTCTTTGTAGACACTGGAGTCCTGTAACATAGTACATAGAAATAATAATGACCTCGATGATGATGATGATGATGATAACACTTACGGTTGTCTGTTCTTGTTGTTTTTTAAGTGTTGTGAAAAGTGTAAGAGAGTTAAAGTATTTAAAAAGAAAAAAAGTCGGTCTTGTTTTTTTTTTATTGCTTTCGTTTGTTATATTATATTACTGTGTACCTATTGTAAATATGAAGCACACCTATTTTGCAAGCCAAGGATTCACTTTGTACTGTTGTTATATATAAATAAAATTTACTGGTTAAAAAAACCGATTCCTCTCAACTCATTAAGAAGTTTCCCAGCGGTCTACTACAGTATGTACCCTATCATTACCTGAATGACTTGTGTCTGAGGAGAAAAACTGCCAGGCATTCGTCCCACTTAGTTGGGGTTAATCTAGGGATGCAATTTAAACCCTGCCATCAATGAACACTCACACTCAAGACTCACTCCGTAACAAGCGAACCAATGAAGCCCGGCGCTGCAGTTTGTCTTTTCACATAGCCATTATCCCTCGCTGGACATTTCTCTCACACCACACTCAGATAAATTACATTACAATGGTAATGGGCCACTGGTTTCTGATTGGATGGTTTGTAAAGTGCCCCCAGAGGAGCTGATGTGGATGTGCTGGGTTTTTAATCAATACTGATGTCTAGTCCAGGCAAGAAAACCAACTAAACAGCCTGAGGCAATATGTTTTGTAACTTTATTCACTGCGAACTTTGATTCACTGGGCAGTTTTTAAACACATTCACGGTGGTGACCACTGTGCTGGAAGACACATTTTAAACATTGGTCGAATGCTTTTGTAGAATCTGACAGGTAGTGATTTGGTGCCATATTGTGGTTGAGCAAATGTGCACAATTCAGTCAAACGGAAAAGAATGTACATCAAAAACATGTCTGAGAAATGGATGCTTGTTAACAAGATTCTGACAGGGCCAGTGTGAAACAAATGTTCAATGGAACTTGTTTAGGCACTTGATAAAATAATTAAAGCTACAAAAATTACAAAAACAACCCAGATGGGAAAAATATTTAGAGTAATTACTATAGTGTTTTTGAACTATACTAGTAAAAAATTCAAATAAAACTTGAATTACTCAGTTGTGGCAATTCTAGTTGCTGTAATAATACAGCAAATATAGTAATATAAACAACCCAATACTTTGCTAGCTTTCTACAAATATATGCAATATACTATTACTACTATAGTATATATATATTTATACAACAGTTCTGTCTGATTCTCAAATCTGATTGGCTGATAGCTGTGCGATATTCTGCAATATCAGAACTCCTACAGCCTCTTGAAGCAGGTCGCACACCAGAAGCGTCGCTCTGCGCCGCGACACGGCGCGCACATGCCAGTTTAAAGTATCACACACCAGACGCGCACATTCGAATGATATTTAACATGAAACTAATCAGATGTCGCTCTGTGGCGCGGCTGAAAAATTAACTGCGTCCTGAGCCGTGGCCGGGCGCCGCTGACAGCCGCCGACTTGCGGCGCCGGTGTGTGTATCCTGATAGAAACCTATGTTTAGAATTCTAAAATGCGTGGCGTGCCGCTGAGCGGCGTTTCTGGTGTGCGACCTGCTTTACCCTTTGTGTAGTACTCTGCCCACATACAGCCAGCAAAAAGCAGACACTACATATCTAAAGTTTAAAAGATGCACGCTCAACTGTCAGCTTATGATTTGAATCCGGAAGAAAGTAGTTCCTCATACAAAAGGTATTTTGAGACTCTCCATGTTTGATTTTGTTTTTATATACACAATTATGCCGTCAAACTGTTGTATAAACCCAATATCACACTCGTAGCAGTATCGTGTGATTAAACATTTAAAATTTATTTATACTAAATAATTACAATACATGTTTTTGGGTAGTGTTTAGCAAAACCCTTTAATGGGCTACATGATGATATAATTGATGACTTTGCAGCAAAAAAAGCAAGAAAGGTCCAGATGTGGTCAAGTATTAGTCAAATTTTAGATTGTTTGTATGCTGTCTGAATTGTTTGTTTGAGACAATTACATTTTACATTTACAATTACATTTTTTCAGGGGCAGGGGGTGGGGGGAATAGTTGGATATGGTGTGGTTCGCCCAGGATGCCATAAACTAGAACCGCCACTAGGCATATAAACCTAATCCATTTAAACCAACTCGACTCTACACCATAACTTTTCAATCCAGATGGATGGGGTAACCATTACTGCATCCAAAATGGTGAAAAGCCTTGGAGTAACGATTGATGACCAACTAAACTTCTCTGACCACATTTCTAGAACTGCTCGATCGTGCAGATTCGCACTCTATAACATCAGAAAGATCCGACCCTTCTTATCTGAACATGCAGCTCAACTCCTTGTTCAAGCTCTTGTTCTCTCCAAACTGGATTACTGCAACTCTCTACTAGCTGGGCTTCCAGCTAACTCTGTCAAGCCTCTTCAACTGCTCCAGAACGCAGCAGCACGAGTGGTCTTCAATGAACCTAAACGAGCACATGTCACTCCACTGCTAGTCTGTTTGCACTGGCTGCCAGTTGCTGCTCGCATCAAATTCAAAGCTCTGATGTTTGCCTACAAAGTGACTTCTGGCCTTGCTCCTTCTTATCTGCTCTCACTTCTGCAGATCTATGTGCCCTCCAGAAACTTGCGTTCTGTGAATGAACGTCGCCTCGTGGTTCCATCCCAAAGAGGGACGAAATCACTTTCGCAAACGCTCACGCTCAATCTGCCCAGTTGGTGGAATGAACTCCCTAACTGCATCAGAACAGCAGAGTCACTCGCTACTTTCAAGAAACGACTAAAAACTCAACTATTTACTCTCCTCTACACTTCCTAATCTGCAATTGCCTCTCTGAATATCACACTAACTGTACAAAAAAAAAATAAAATAAAATAAAATAAATAAATAAATAAAATTAAAAAAATACTAATACTACTAATACTTCCCTTCTTAAACTTTACAGACCTGAAACTTGCCTATAGCACTTATTCTTTGTTGCTCTTAGTTGTGAAAATTGCTTCCTTGTCCTCATTTGTAAGTCGATTTGGATAAAAGTGTCTGCTAAATGACTAAATGTAAATGTAAACCTAAGCAAAATAAGTGAAAGCAATAATATTGCCACTCGTTTGGCACCAATAAAAATGTTCATGTGCTTTAGACAAGTGTTATTAGCTTGCATTTTATAACTCACTTTGAAATACAAATTGTAGTGTAATTTTTCAGATGACAGAAAACAAATTCCGGAAAATATGTTAACAGTTGATTATGTTTGCATGTCTCATTGAAAATTGTCTCTTCTATTTCATTTTTATTCATTTATTACAGTGACTGATAACTACTTCCAATGGTTTTAGTGAACAATAACAACAACCATTTAGAAAGTCATAAGGGTGAGTAAATGACAGAATTGGGTGAACTGTCTCTTTAAATGCGCCCAATAAAGACGGCAGTCCGGCTAAAAAACCAGCAGCGACAACGCCACATATGCTGGTTACTTGGGGTTTTTCAGCAGACAGTTCAATTAACTTTATCATCCGCAGAGCTGCAGGAGAGACGACCACCACAACAGCAGCAGCAACAGCTAAACAAGCGGTGAGAAAATAGCTGCTGGTCGATGTAGTTTTTCAAACACCGTCCATCTGTCATCGACGCTTATGCATCTAGTCAATATTAGCTAGCGTGGTGAGGCCTGTCGCTAATTAGCTGGTCAAACAGATAGAAGTCCAGTACAGTGCGAGCAGCTCAAAGGGCCGCCATCAATAATGAAATAGGCTGTGTGTGTGTAATAGCCGGTCATAAATATTTTAGTGTGTGCTCTGCCGAGACCTCTGATCGCCACTGAGGTGCTGCTCAAGGCATTGGAGTGGGTTTAAGTGCAACTTCATTAGCCGCGATGCTTCACTGTGAATGCTGATGGTTCGTCGATGTGTTTTGATGTGGGAATGTGAGAAGCTTTCAATATAAAGTTAAGAATGTTCGTTTAAAGAGGTGCTTGTTTAAGCTTAATTGGCAGTGATGTCCATTTTAAATGCTATTCTATTGCGGGCTAATGAACGTGTAAAATAACTTCTATCTCACAAAAATATCAATCTCTGACGAGCATTGTGTGGTTTACATTTTGATGTTTATAAAACAATACATATATAAAATACATGTACAGGGTTGCCAGGTCCAAGACATTTTACAGCCCAATGACAACTCAAACCCCACCCAAATGAGGGAAAAGTAGCCCAAATAATGTACAATCATTTGTTGGATTCCCACAATTTGGATACACGACGTTGATACAGTGTTAAAGTAGTGACTGATTTCAATGCACATCAGCAGTGTTGGGTAAGTTTCTTTAAAAAATTAATGATTACAAATGACTGACTCCTACTGAAAACTTGTAATCTGATTACATTACTCAGGCCCGTAGCCAGCCTGGTGAAAAGGGTGGTTCTTTTTTTTTCTCAAAGTGGACCTTTTTGCAGTTATACAGTACATATCGGTTTCTATTTAACTATGAGATTTAAATACTGCATTTTAGTGACTTTTTTTTTTTTGCTGGTTTAGATGACATCATAACCACACTTTTTCATGTACTAAAAATTTGAATAAAAAATTAAAACAAGACTAATTTTTAAAACACAAATTTATTACATCATATATCATTAGGAAAAAATAGCAATCTGTTAAAGTTTTAAAGTTAAAAAACAAACAAAACAATAATTAAAATATAATAATAATAATAATAATAATAATGAATTCTTTATTGTTGTTCTAGCCTCTTTTTTTTTTTTTTTTTACCAAAGAAGTAAATTTGAAGATTCCTGTATATCAACAATAGCCAAAATATATTCAAATTGATTTAATATAGTGCGCTTCTGGTGCTTCAACTTTTTATTGCTTATATTTATTTTAGAAGTAAGATCCAAGATTTAGAATAAAAGTTACCTGTAAAATCTTTTCTCTGTTTAAAAACAAAACAGTAGTGAAAGAAGACTTCTCTTACATCAGATTATAGTCCCACTGAAGCAACAGCCGACAGAGGATTCCACTTGGTCTTTTTCGATGGATTATTTATGATGGCATAGTAGTCAAAATAGGACAAATGAGCTCATGTATGGGACAAATTCTGGACCTTTGTCAGTGAGGGCTCGATCTTCCTAACCACCTGAACCCCCCTGGTTACAGGCCTGAAAAGTTAGAACACGTTTTATGTTTATAGTAAACATGTTTTTAATAGAATTTTGGCTGTAAAAGCGC